TATCAGGGGTTTTATTACTCCACCCAACACAAACACATGTATATATATACAAAAGGGATGTAAACCAAACAAAGAGCGAGGTGTAACCTCTACACAATACACGGGACAAGACCCGTAAACAACCAGAGCACAATACACGGTACTCACGAGACCAACGGACATGGGACAAGACAGTCTGGGGTTGGTGGTAATGATCCATGTCAGTAACGCCTAGATAGCCGGAACTGGTGAACGGAATGAGCAGCAGTACCGGGGGGATCCGTGACAGTACGTTTCATTTTTATCAGAGGTACACACGCATACTGTGTTACACACGTACATTTTTCATTTTTAACCTGTTGTCAGAGTTATGGGATGTTTCTTCATGATGAGTGGTAGCAGGACATCAGTGTAGTTTGGTTCTGGGTGGCTGTTTCTTTCTTCCTCAATGGAGCAACTGGCTAGTATGGAATATTCTAGAACACTGTAATTGTGTACTCTAGAACACTGCGATTGTGTACTCTAGAACACGGTGATTGTAGACACTAGAACACTGATTGTCTACTCTAAAATAGAACACTGATTGTATACTCTAAAATAAGGGTTAAAAAAAGTATTAACAATAAATACAATTATATATTCTAGAACATTGTGATTATATACTTTAGAACACTGTGATTGTGTACTCTAGAACACTGTGATTGTAAACTCTAGAAGAGTCTCTTAGTGCAGCTGGAACCTATAGTTGTGTTCTCTTCTGTGTTCCGTCAGTATTGTTAGTTGGCCTGTGAAAATACTGTTCTAACTCCTATCCCCTGTGTATCTCTGTTCTTGTAACTGTTCTGCTAGTCTAGTGCTATCCCAGCAGTGCTCTGCCCTGCTTCCTGCTCGCAAATGTTGCTGGACACATTCTTTATTTATGAGGGGAAGACGATGTCTGAAATATTTACAACAGAGGAGCAGGACAAAATAACTTTCAATAAGACATGAGATGCAACAATCAAGAAGTTTCTACTTCCTCCCAGCTTCTAAGGATAGGGGTCCTTGGGACCTGAGGGGGCTGGCTGGTTAAAGTGCCTGATGTTCTCCTGGTCACTCCAAACCCATCCAAGCCCATCACAGTAGAGTTCAATTAGGTGTTGAACTTAAATGATGCCAGGAAATAAAAACATTTATATTCATAAAGGTTTAAGCTACAGTTTGGGGTTTGGGAAGCTGTTCAATGGTCATTTCAACTCAAGAACACTGCTCAAAATCGTTTTGTTTTTTTTACTATGTACTGTAAGGTAATTACACAATACACAACTTATTCCCAGTCCATTGATAGTGGCTGTGTTATGTATAGTGGCTGTGTTATGTATAGTGGCTGTATTATGTATAGTGGCTGTGTTATGTATAGTGGCTGTGTTATGTATAGTGGCTGTATTATGTATAGTGGCTGTGTTATGTATAGTGACTGTGTTATGTATAGTGAACGGTCATCCAACTCGGAATTCCTACTTTGGAACTCGGGCCTCTTTCTAGAGCCCCGTCTTTCCGACCTGAAGATCACTTTCGTCATGATTTGACCTTGTATTTTTTGGTTATAGCATTTCTTTCACATGACCCATCAATTTAGACAAGTGTGTCTGGGTAAGAATCATCTAATAATTATACAATATTTATCTGGACACGTTCAATTATTTTATATTGCTACTATGCAAATATGCAAGTAACCATTTCACTGTACCGTTTACACCTTCTGTATCCTGTGCATGTGACAAATAAACGTTGATTTTATTTGATATAGTGTGTGTTTACCAGAGACGATAATGTTAAGAACAACATGACCTGCACCAAAGTCAGATTAGGATATAGGCCAAGGACTAGATTATGTATTTTTGCTACTACTTTCACCACTTTTAGTCTTGAAATTGTTGGTTGTTTACTACACTATTTTACTCACTCTGTTTAGCACATGGCCTCATGTGAATCCTTAAAGAGATGGGTAGGGCTTGTGTGGGATGGGTAGGGAGGGTGTGAATGAAGCTGAATGGGTGTACATTCAAGGGCCATTTTCTAAAAAGTGGGGTTACAAGTTTTTCAACTTTCAAAGCAGAATTAAATTCCCATTGTTTCTCAACTGCAGTGTATAATATACCATTTTCTAGCTCTGAGTCTCTACTTTTATTCAATGAATGTCACATACACTACCGTTCCAAAGTTTGGGGTCACTTAGAAATGTCCTTGTTTTCGAAAGAAAAGCAATTTTTTTGTCCATTTAAAATAACATCAAATTGATCAGAAATACAGTGTAGACATTGTTAATGTTGTAAATGTCTATTGTAGCTGGAAACGGCTGATTTTTACTGGAATATCTACATAGGCGTACAGAGGCCCATTATCAGCAACCATCAGTCCTGTGTTCCAATGGCACGTTGTGTTTGCTAATCCAAGTTTATCATTTTAAAAGGCTAATTGATCATTAGAAAACCCTTTTGCAATGATGTTAGCACAGCTGAAAAATTTTGTGCTGATTAAAGAAGCAATAAAACTGGCCTTCTTGAGACTAGTTGAGTATCTGGAGCCGATTATCAGCACAAAATGTCATCACTGAGAGCACAGTCCCTACATCTCAAGCTAAAAACATCAGCAATGCACTCACCAGCTTTCGTTGTTTATGTGACATGGACATGATCCAACTGATGCCATTGAGTGCACACACCATGTAAGCCCGATCTGACAATAAAATACTATTTTTGACTGCTGTCATATCAACACTTATATGAATTATAATGCAATTACTGCTTTTGTGCTGATTTTCACTATCATCCTATGATTTAAGAGTTCATTATCATCCTATGATTTAAGAGTTCACTATCATCCTGGTTTACTCAGTTAATTATCATGTATTTATTTTGTGTGTGTTTGTGTCTGCTGTGTGCACTTGACCTTTAGTGTGTGTGTGTGTGTGTGTGTGTGTGTGTGTGTGTGTGTGTCTGCTGTGTGCACACTTCTGTCTGTCCATGTATGTGTCTGTGTGTGTCTGTCTCTATGCATTTGACCTTTGTGTGTGTGTGTGTGTGTGTGTGTGTGTGTGTGTGTGTGTGTGTGTGTGTGTTCGCGTGCATGATGGAGATGTGTTCCGGCACAGTGGAGAGCAGCCTGTCTGAAGCTGTGAGGGCCACCTGATCTACAGTAGTCCTGAACCCGCACACACACACACACACACACACACACACACACACACACAGGGTACACACATGCGCATAAACGCACACACGGGCTCACACACACTGTGTCACTCGAGGCTAGGTGGGGTGAAGGGTGTTGTAAGCAAAGCCCCTGTGTGACCTGTGAGTCAAGATAGAGAGGGAGGGAGGGAAAAGAAAGGGGGATACCGAGAGACATACAGTATCTGTGCTACAGGAGCCACACTATAGATATTATAGTTTCAGTTTCACATCAACAACAGCTGTTCTATTTCCAACAACAGATTGTTGATTCATTTGCACTGTCCCTGTTAAGTACATTCCATAAATACATTTCATAAGTACATTTAATAAATAAACTGTTAGATGTTACTTTAAAGACCGATTTCCAGACACACTAACTTTTCAGCAGACAGCAGACAAGAGTTAGTGCTCTAACTCTTCAGATTCAGCATGCCAATGTCTTATGATGCACTTTTTTTAGTTTCTTTGCAGCAATTAGACCATGAAGGCCTGATTCACACAGTCTCCTCTGAACAGTTGATGTTGAGATGTGTCTGTTACTTGAACTCTGTGAAGCATTTTTTTTGGGCTGCAATTTCTGAGGCTGGTAACTCTAATGAACGTATCCTCTGCAGCAGAGGTAACTCTGGGTCTTCCATTCCTGTGGCGGTCCTCATGAGAGCCAGTTTCATCATAGTGCTTGATGGTTTTTGCGACTGCACTTGAAGAAACTTTCAAAGTTCTTGACATTTTCCGTATTGACTGACCATGTCTTAAAGTAATGATGGATTGTCGTTTCTCTTTGCTGATGTGTGCTGTTCTTGCCATAATATGGACTTGGTCTTTTACCAAATAGGGCTATCTTCTGTATACCCCCCCTACCTTGTCACAACACAACTGATTGGCTCAAACGCATTAAGAAGGAAATAAATTCCACAAATTAACTTTTAAGAAGGCACAACTGTTAATTGAAATGCATTCCAGGTGACTACCTCATGAAGCTGGTTGAGAGAATGCCAAGAGTGTGCAAAGCTGTCATCAAGGCAAAGGGTGGCTATTTGAAGAATCTCAAATATAAAACATATTTTGATTTGTTTAACACTTTTCTGGTTACTACATGATTCCATATGTGTTATTTCATAGTGTTGATGTCTTCACTACAATTATACAATGTAAAAAATAGTGTAAACAAAGAAAAACCCTTGAATGAGTAGGTGTGTCCAAACCTTTGACTGGTAGTGTATATATATAGTGGTTAAAATAAGCATGGCTAGACTGTTTCTCAGGCATGCACAGTGACAGCTTCTGAGTATCGAGGTTTAACTACGAAGAATTCAGACAATACGCACACAAACACACACACACATAACCAACAGTCTTAGTTTCCGCGTACAACCAGCTCCATGAGGGCTTTCACAGCCTATTAGACCAGATTCTCCGGTACCAACTCTGCAAACCGACATTCGGTCCCAAATTCTGTCGAATCAGACATCTCACCAGGTCACCCCTAACAGCTGTCTGAGACCGACATCTCAAGGTCACCCTACATCTGTCTAAATCGACCACTCACACAGGTCCCTACATTTGGTCCTAGAACCAGACCATCTTCACTGTTCCCTAACATTCTGGTCTAAGATCCATGACTATTTCATCAGGTTATCCACTAACATTCTGTAAAATAGAGATCAGAACCATCGTACGGTTACCCAACCTTTGCTGGTAGGATCAGACATCTTACAAAGGCACCCTAACGTTGTCTAGAGATCCAGACCACTTCACTAGGTCACCCAAACATTCTGTCTAGAGATCCAGACCATCTTCACCAGGTCACCCTACATTCTGTCTGAGATCCAGGATCTTCACGAGGTCACCCCTAACATTCTGTCTAGAGATCCAGACATCTTCACCAGGTCACCCCTAACATTCTGTCTAGAGATCCAGACCATCTTCACAGGTTACCCCTAACATTCTGTCTAGAGATCCAGACCATCGTCACCAGGTTACCCCTAACATTCTGTCTAGAGATCCAGACCATCTTCACCAGGTCACCCCTAACAGTCTGTCTAGAGATCCAGACCATCTTCACTAGGTCACCCATAACATTCTGTCTAGAGATCCAGACCATCTTCACAGGTCACCCCTAACATTCTGTCTAGAGATCCAGACCATCTTCACTAGGTCACCCCTAACATTCTGTCTAGAGATCCAGACCATCTTCACCAGGTCACCCCTAACATTCTGTCTAGAGATCCAGACCATCTTCACCAGGTCACCCCTAACATTCTGTCTAGAGATCCAGACCATCTTCACCAGGTCACCCCTAACATTCTGTCTAGAAATCCAGACCATCTTTACTAGGTCACCCCTAACATTCTGTCTAGAAATCCAGACCATCTTCACTAGGTCACCCCTAACATTCTGTCTAGAAATCCAGACCATCTTCACAAAAGCTGTGTTCGAATACTCATACTAACCACACTAACCGTACTATTTGTGACGTAAATTGAGTATATAGTATGCTTATTGGTCATAGTATGGATATAGTTTGTATGCCAAAAGTTCCCGGATTGTCGTACTAAATTCGCCAAAATACAAAGTATACAAGCAGTGAACACTATTTCCGTGCTTTTAGGGCCCATAATGCAATTCTTCATAAAATGGGTGTGGCTTCACAACGTTTTCAGATTTGAAGAAAATGGCAGAAAATATGCAGCCGAAATCCGACGAGAGCGGATACAAATTGCTTTAACTAATTATGACAAATGTTAAGAAAATGTTGAGCAATGTAATACAAGAATACAAGTTACCTAACGTTAGTTGGCTACTAATACATCGAACTTGCCAGGCAGTATATTAACTATCTGCTATCTAACTAACTACCCAACGTTTATTGACATGATTATTCACATCATTCTTAGCTAAGTGGTATAGTCGTTGTGCGTTCTCAATGGACATTGTTAATTCTGGCTATCTACTCCGATTTCAGAGCACTCTTGTCTGTGTGTGCCAGAGCGCGGGATAACTGATTAATTTATGAACGCTCAACACCCGTTGAATATATGGCTAGTGTCAGTAAACGTCGGCAAACAAAAGCACAATTAAATTGTTGCCAGCAGCACAGTTACAGTCACCAACGCTACTGGATAACATGAAAACAGCCTAACCAGCTCTGCTAGGGCGAGTAAAATGGTCAGTGAGGTGTTCTCTCATTTGTGTCTGGAAATAGCTTACCAACGTTAGCCAGTTAGCTTGGGTGCTTGACTACTGTTGTGAGGTCAGAATAAAAAATAGAAATGTCTTATTTACATAACTATTCAGACCATTTGCTTTGCTCGGTCATAAACACATCCAAAATAATCAAAGGAAAGGGTTACAAGAAAAAAGGTGTGCAAACTGAAACTGAAACACACTTGCAAACTGAAACGGTAAGGTCTGCCCCCCTTCTGATAACCAGGTGGCGAATCACATCTCTGCATGTCTGGCAGACATATCAGTGTGGATGACGGATCACCACCTCAAGCTGAACCTTGGCAAGACGGAGCTGCTCTTCCTCCCAGGGAAGGACTGCCCATTCCATGATCTCGCCATCACGGTTGACAACTCCGTTGTGTCCTCCTCCCAGAGTGCGAAGAGCCTTGGCGTGACCCTGAACAACACCCTGTCGTTCTCCGCTAACATCAAGGCGGTGACCCGATCCTGTAGGTTCATGCTCTACAACATTCGGAGAGTACAACACTGCCTTACACAGGAAGCGGCACAGGTCTTAATCCAGGCACTTGTCATCTCCCGTCTGGATTACTGCAACTCGCTGTTGGCTGGGCTCCCTGCCTGTGCCATTTAACCAACTCATCCAGAATGCCGCAGCCCGTCTGGTGTTCAACCTTCCCAAGTTCTCTCACGTCACCCCGCTCCTCCGCACACTCCACTGGCTTCCAGTTGAAGCTCGCATCTGCTACAAGACCATGGTGCTTGCCTACGGAGCTGTGAGGGGAACGGCACCTCCGTACCTTCAGGCTCTGATCAGTCCCTACACCCAAACGAGGGCATTGCGTTCATCCACCTCTGGCCTACTGGCCCCCCTACCTCTGCGGAAGCACAGTTCCCGCTCAGCCCAGTCAAAACTGTTCGCTGCTCTGGCACCCCAATGGTGGAACAAGCTCCCTCACGACGCCAGGACAGCGGAGTCACTCACCACCTTCCGGAGACACTTGAAACCCCACCTCTTTAAGGAATAACTGGGATAGGATAAAGTAATCCTTCTACCCCCCCCATTACCCCACCCCACCCCCCAAAAAAAAAAAAAAAAAAAAAAACTTTGTAAAGTGGTTATCCCACTCTCTATAAGGTGAATGCACCAATTTGTAAGTCGCTCTGGATAAGACCGTCTGCTAAATGACGTAAATGTAAAAATGATTAGTGACAGGTGTGAGTTTTTAAATGTGGTAAAGGAACTGGAGTCCCTCCACTGCTGGAGGGGGAATGGACAGGAGATTAGTGGTGGTTTGTGATAGGGTGAGGGGACTGTCAGTCAGGGTAGGGGCAAATCGAGCACAGTTATAATCAATTGAATGACGAAAATAGGCTAAAGTGGGCTAATGCAATTGAAGGCGTGAATCAAATTGTTGCTTATACTCAAACTCCCAAAGTAATATCCAACCATTATCCTAAATTTAAATCAATAGCCGTGTGTGGTCAATGATCATTTCAGCACCGTTTTGATTGGGACAGGGCCATCACGCTGCTTTGAGACAAGTGTGGGGGGACTCGTCTTGATAGATCAATCAGTGTCAGATTTAGGTTTTCACTGAATCTCTATTTGGTAACAATTAGGCTGGGGAAATGTTAGCTAAGTTGAGGTGAGTGCTCAGGATCATCTTTATTCTAGTTTGCTCATATATTAATGATCAGAAAATGTGGCTAGCATGTTATGTAACTTAAGTGGATTTTGCTCTTCACTTGCGTAATATGTCGTTATCAATAAAACGTCACAATAAGGTGCAGAGTGTTCGGTTTTCCTGCTGGGGGGCAAGGAGACCCCCAGCTACGCTAAAACCATTGACAACTGCGTGTCGTTTTCAAGGCATTGTTAAATAAATGTTAACTATTTGGTTTTAATATCAACACCTCTTGAAGAGCATAGTCAGAACTACACATTTCCAGTTATTCCACATTTAGCGCTATCATCAGAGTTATACAGCAAGTAACTGGATGCTTTTCATGATCAGTAAACATCAGTTGATGATTATATATCAGCTACGTAAGGGTAGCCTGACAATATCTCTCAATATTGGCCACCATTCTTTGGATATGAGTGATATAAAAGTGAACTACACCTGACAAGTATGAGTGGTTTACGTTAATTATCCATCCTTTGTGGGCTCTGCTTGTCAAGCAGCAGAATTTTTTTCTCCATTTGTCTGTCATAGTTGACGTGTACCTATGATGAAAATTACAGGCCTCTCTCATCTTTTTAAGTGGGAGAACTTGCACAATTGGTGGCTAACTAAATACTTTTTTTCCCCACTGTAGTTATAATATTTATTTAACAATCCCTTGAAAAGGGCACATAGTTGTCAATGGTTTTAGTGGAATTGGGGGTTTCCTTGCCCCCCAGCAGGCAAATCGAACGCTCTGCACCTTATTGTGACGTTTTATTGATAACGACCTATAGCCTGTCCTACTCTCGACCAAAAGCCTGTGACTTGTCTTAATCAATCAATGTGATTTTGTTTCACAGAATCTCCATCTGTATATTTGATTAGGCTAATTGATCTCTGGCTGGCCAAATACGTGGATGTGGGATAACTCATCTATCACTGATCAGAAACATTTAGCATGCTATAATGTAGCCTAAATCAAGTATGTTATTTTGCTCTTGATTCACCTATAGGCTATATATAGTAGCCTTAAATAATCGATCCACCATCGAGCCGTTCGAGCACGTCCTGTTTTATCTAATGTAACTTACTTCAATATAATAAATAATTAATAATTAATTCATGCCTTTAAATACAACCAAGCATTTTAATTTGAAAATAGGCCTAAATAAATAACTAGATTTTCTGCTAAACAACCATTTGAATAATCGCTCAAAAGCCCTGTGTTTTGAATGCATGTTTTATTCTGAAATGAGATTTGGATCAGTTATGGGTCTTCTTTCGATAGTTTACAAGGTCCAACAAGGCACTTTAGCAGGGCAGTCATATAGGGTGTATAAATATGGGCTTCTGCTGATTCTGAGATGCGCTGCCTGTCATGATCATCATTCTCCCGAGTGCACTTCAGCCTATTCGTATCGCAATTTGAAACATTTCAATGATCAGAAAAATAAGTTATATGGCGACACATTTCTTTGGCCCAACCAATATTGGAATCCTGACACTGCTAGTGGCTGCAGCTGCTGCTTCTGCTGAGAGAGAGAGAGCACTAGTAAAAAGTGCGCAGACACTCCATTTTTCTTTCTGAACACCGGGCCCCATCGGGTTTGGGCGGAGAAGGAGAACTCTAACCCAGTCCCTGAGCAATCTGGAATGTTATTTGGCCCTAAACAGAGAGTACACAGTAGCAGAATACCTGACCACTGTGACTGACCCAAAATGAAGGAACGCTTTGACTATGTACAGACTCAATGAGCATAGCCTTGCTATTGAAAGAGGCCGCCGTAGGCAGACCTGGCTCTCAAGAGAAGACAGGCTATGTTCCCACTGCCCACAAAATGAGGTGGAAACTGAGCTGCACTTCCTAACCTCCTGCCAAATTTATGACAATATTAGAAACACATATTTCCTTCAGATTACACAGACCCACAAAGAATTTGAAAAAATATATAATCTTGATAAACTCCCATATCTATTAGGTGAAATAGCATAGCAGACCTGTTGCCACAAGGAAAGGGCAACCAGTGGAGCACAAACAACATTGTAAATACAACCTACAGTGCCTTCGGAAAGTATTCAGACCCCTTGACTTTTTCCACATTTTGTTACTTTACAGCCTTATTTTAAAATTGATTAAATAAATAACAAATATCTCAGCAATCTAAACACAATGCCACATAATGACAAAGCAAAAACAGATTTTTTGAAATTTTAGCAAATGTATAAAAAAAATAAAAATAAAATACCTTATTTACATAAGTATTCAGACCCTTTGCTATGAGACTCAAAATTGAGCTCAGGTGCATCCTGTTTCCATTGATCATCCTTGAGATGTTTCTACAACTTGATTGCAGTCCACCTATTATAAATTCAATTAATTGGACATGATTTGGAAAGGCACGCCTGTCTATATAAGGTCCCACAGTTGACAGTGCCTGTCAGAGCAAAAACCAAGCCATGAGGTCGAAGGAATTGTCCGTAGAGCTCAGAGACAGGATTGTGTCGAGGCACAGATCTGGGGAAGGGTACCAAAAAATGTCTGCAGCATTGAAGGTCCCCAAGAACACTGTGGCCTCCATTATTCTTAAATTGAAGAAGTTTGGAACCACCAATACTCTTTCTAGAGCTGGCCACCCGGCCAAACTGAGCAATTTGGGGAGAACGGCCTTGGTCAGGGAGGTGACCAAGAACCCGATGGTCACTCTGACAGAGCTCTAGAGTTCCTCTGTGGAGATGGGAGAACCTTCAGAAGGACAACCATCTCTGCAGCACTCCACCAATCAGGCCTTTATGGTAGAGTGGCCAGACGGAAGCCACTCCTCAATAAAAGGCATATGACAGCCCACTTGGAGTTTGCCAAAAGGCACCTAAAGACTCTCAGACCATGAGAAACAAGATTCTCTGGTTTGAACCAAGATTGAACTCTTTGGCCTGAATACCAAGCGTCACATCTGGAGGAAACCTGGCACCATCCCTACGGTGAAGCATGGTGGTGGCAGCATCATGCTGTGGGGATGTTTTTCAGCGGCAGGGACTGAGAGACTAGTCAGGATCGAGGCAAAGATGAATGGAGCAAAGTACAGAGAGATTCTTGATGAAAACCTGCTCCAGAGCGCTCAGGACCTCAGACTGGGTTGAAGGTTCACCTTCCAACAGGACAACGACCCTAAGCACACAGCCAAGACAACGCATGAGTGGCTTCGGGACAAGTCTCTTAATGTCCTTGAGTGGCCCAGCCAGAGCCCGGACTTGAACCTGATCGAACATCTCTGGAGAGACCTGAAAATAGCTGTGCAGCGACGCTCCCCATCCAACCTGACAGAATTTAAGAGGATCTGCAGAGAAGAATGGGAGAAACTCCCTAAATACAGGTGTGCCAAGCTTGTAGCGTCATACCCAAGAAGACTCTACGCTGTAATCGCTGCCAAAGGTGCTTCAACAAAGTACTGAGAAAAGGGTCTGAATCTTTATGTAAATGTGATATTTCAGTTTTTATTTTTAATAAATTAGCAAAACTTTATAAAAACCTGTTTTTGCTTTGTCATTATGGGGTATTGTGTGTAGATTGATGAGGAAAAATAACAATTTAATCCATTTGTAGATTAAGGCTGTAACGTAACAAAATTTAGAAAAGTCAAGGGGTCTGAAGACTTTCCGAAGGCACTGTATATTTACAGTGGGGGAAAAAAGTATTTGATCCCCTGCTGATTTTGTACGTTTGCCCACTGACAAAGAAATGATCAGTCTATCATTTTAATGGTAGGTTTATTTGAACAGTGAGAGACAGAATAACAACAAAAAAACGCATGTCAAAAATGTTATAAATTGAATTGCATTTTAATGAGGGAAATAAGTATTTGACCCCTCTGCAAAACATGTCTTAGTACTTGGTGGCAAAACCCTTACTGGCAATCACAGAGGTCAGACGTTTCTTGTAGTTGGCCACCAGGAGGGTTTTTGTCCCACTCCTCTGCAGATCTTCTCCAAGTCATTAAGGTTTCGAGGCTGACGTTTGGCAACTCGAACCTTCAGCTCCTTCCACAGATTTCTATGGGATTAAGGTCTGGAGACTGGCTAGGCCTCTCCAGGACCTTAATGTGCTTCTTCTTGAGCCACTCCTTTGTTGCCTTGGCCGTGTGTTTTGGGTCATTGTCATGCTGGAATACCCATCCACGACCCATTTTCAATGCCCTGGCTGAGGGAAGGAGGTTCTCACCCATGATTTGACGGTACATGGCCCCGTCCATCGTCCCTTTGATGCGATGAAGTTGTCCTGTCCCCTTAGCAGAAAAACACCCCCAAACCATAATGTTTCCACCTCCATGTTTAATGGTGGCGATGGTGTTCTTGGGGTCATAGGCAGCATTCCTCCTCCTCCAAACACGGCGAGTTGAGTTGATGCCAAAGAGCTCGATTTTGGTCTCATCTGACCACAACACTTTCACCCAGTTCTCCTCTGAATCATTCAGATGTTCATTGGCAAACTTCAGACGGGCCTGTATATGTGCTTTCTTGAGCAGGGGGACCTTGCGGGCGCTGCAGGATTTCAGTCCTTCACGGCGTAGTGTGTTACCAATTGTTTTCTTGGTGACTATGATCCCAGCTGCCTTGAGATCATTGACAAGATCCTCCCGTGTAGTTCTGGGCTGATTCCTCACCGTTCTCATGATCATTGCAACTCCACGAGGTGAGAACTTGCATGGAGCCCCAGGCCGAGGGAGATTGACAGTTCTTTTGTGTTTCTTCCATTTGCGAATAATCGCACCAACTGTTGTCACCTTCTCACCAAGCTGCTTGGCGATGGTCTTGTAGCCCATTCCAGCCTTGTGTAGGTCTACAATCTTGTCCCTGACATCCTTGGAGAGCTCTTTGGTCTTGGCCATGGTGGAGAGTTTGGAATCTGATTGATTGATTGCTTCTGTGGACAGGTGTCTTTTATACAGGTAACAAGCTGAGATTAGGAGCACTCCCTTTAAGAGCGTGCTCCTAATCTCAGTTCGTTACCTGTATAAAAGACACCTGGGAGCCAGAAATCTTTCTGATTGAGAGGGGGTCAAATACTTATTTCCCTCATTAAAATGCAAATCAATTTATAACATTTTTGACATGCGTTTTTCTGGATGTTTTTGTTGTTATTCTGACTCTCACTGTTCAAATAAACCTACCATTAAAATTATAGACTGATCATGTCTTTGTAATAATAATAATATGCCATTTAGGAGACGCTTTTATCCAAAGCGACTTACAGTCATGTGTGCATGCATTTTTACATATGGGTGGTCCCGGGGATCGAACCCACTACTCTGACGTTATAAGCGCCTTGCTCTACCAATTGAGCTACAGAGGACAAACGTACAAAATCAGCAGGGGATCAAATACTTTTTTCCCTCACTGTATCTGTTTATTTACTGTATTTTCCCTTTCATACTTCAACTACTGTATTTGCACATTGTGTTACAACACTGTACATAGCCAATAATATAACATTTGAAATGTCTATATTCTTTAAAAACTTTTGAGAGTTTAATGTTTACTTGTTAATTTCCCTTTTGTTTATTGTTTATTTCACATATGTTTCCCATGCCAATAAAGCCCTTAGATAGAGAGAGAGAACAAACACTGGAATAGGGAAAGGAGAGCGTTTTGGGAGGGAGTGAGGGAGGGAGGGAGAAACGACGTGTAGGACGGATGGGAGACCCTGGCTCCCTGATTCCCGTTCCGACCGCAGCCCGCACGGCTGGTGTTGTGTGCGTGCACACTCAGGACTCTGCGAGGAGGAGGAGGAGGAAGCGTGAGTTGTGTTTATTTTTAGTTCCCCCTGGGCCGACTAATCAAACGTAGCCGAGCTGAGCCACGGATAACAAACGTCAGCGGGTGTCGATAAGATGAGATCGCGGGAGATGAGATGAGCGATGAATCTGGACTGCCTGCAGTTGGGGGACTGGTGTTCGACAGCACAGGGGGGGTCCATGGCTGCGACACACGGAGGAGGGCCAGTATGGAGGGGTCCGGGACCAGGGCCAGGGGAGGTTAGCAGTGGGGCCGGGTAGAGCTGGACCCAGGCCGGAGGTGCCTCTCCTGGGAGGACCTTGGCTCAACCCGGAGGAATTGAGGAGCAGCGTGGTGGTGCTCTACACCCCCGCTGGAAACACCTGCTTCCTCCGACTGGTACTAGAGAAGGAGAGAGAGAGGAGGGGGAGAGAGGAGTTAGCAGAGAGGATAGTACTCAGGGGGAGACAGGAGATGGCAGAGAGGATAGTACTCAGGGCTGCAGGATAGCTTGGACAGGTATGTGTCTGTGGCTGTTGGTGGTTTGTGTGTGTACGTGCATTTGCGTCCGTGTGTCTGTACGGTGTGGTAGATATTCGTTATGAGTGTGTCAGATCAGAAGTGTGTGTGTGTCTATATGTGTGTGTGTGTTTCTTGTCTTAAATAAGACCAGCGTGTCAGTCCTCATGGGAGAGCTATCTCCTCTTGCTGAGATGTCTTAAGTGCAGCAGTAGACACCCGTGTGGCATACACACACACACACACACACACACACACACACACACACACACACACACACACACACACACACACACACAGTGCCAGGGCTCATATAGAGGACACTCAGCTCAGTTCTAAGAAGGAGACAGTATAGTCTACTCCCAGTAGTACTAGGACCTAAACTAACACCTGGACCAACTGACTGACTGTCTGTCTGACTGACTGTCTAGCTGACTGTCTAGCTGACTGTCTGTCTGTTTGACTGACTGACTGACTGTCTGACTGACTGTCTGACTGTCTAGCTGACTGTCTGTCTGTCTGTCTGTCTGACTTACTGTCTGACTATCTGTATGTCTGTCTGACTGGCTGTCTGACTGTCTGACTATCTGTCTGTCTGGCTGACTGTCTGTCTGGCTGGCTGACTGACTGTTTGTCTGTTTGTCTGTCTGGCTGACTGTCTAGCTGACTGTCTGTCTGACTGTCTATCGCTCTGACTGGCTGGCTGACTGGCTGGCTGACTGTCTGTCTGTTTTACTGACTGTCTGTCTGACTGACTGGCTGGCTGGCTGACTGTCTGTCTTACTGACTGTCTGGCTGATTTACTGGCTGACTGTCTGTCTTACTGACTGTCTGGCTGACTTACTGGCTGACTGACTGGCTGACTGGCTGACTGTCTGTCTGTTTTACTGACTGTCTGGCTGACTGTCTGGCTGACTGTCTAGGCTGTATCCAATAACAAACCTCTTCAACATGACGTCATTTAGAGTAACTACTTTGTTTACTAGTGGGTCACCATGTGCATGCGTACTGATTGTGTACAGGATTTAGTGAAGCAGCATGGTTGTCCATATGGGGTTCTGATCCTGTTTAGTTAGCCTGCTGCAGGGCGATTAGCTCATAGTTTAAGTGTCTTTGTGCTGACGAGACCGTAAGCAGCTTGGTTATCAAGACACAGTCCACAGCGTTTGGTCGCTCTGCTCCGCTCGGACCCAGACCCTCGCCATTCGCCACGAGATGTTTCCATGCTGACTGCATCATAGAGGAAAGTTTGAGAGGTCTTTGTCACAGGGGCCATATTAGTGGAAATCAGCGTCCACTCTCACTCCAAATTTCTCTCACTCCAATTTTCTCTCACTCCAAATCTCTCTCATTCCATTCCAAACACAAGCAGAACACTGAGCAGTGACTCTTAAGCTACACAATGTCTCCTCTCTAATGTCTCCTCTCTAATGTCTCCTCTCTAATGTCTCCTCTCTAATGTCTCCTCTAATGTCTCCTCTCTAATGTCTCCTCTAATGTCTCCTCTCTAATGTCTCCTCTCTAATGTCTCCTCTCTGTCTCCTCTCTAATGTTTCCTCTCTAATGTCTCCTCCCTAATGTCTCCTCTAATGTCTCCTCTCTGACTCCTCTCTAATGTCTCCTCTAATGTCTCCTCTCTAATGTCTCCTCTCTAATGTCTCCTCTCTAATGTCTCCTCTCTAATATTTCCTCTAATGTCTCCTCCCTAATGTCTCCTCTCTAATGTCTCCTCTCTAATGTCTCCTCTCTAATGTCTCCTCTCTAATGTCTCCTCTCTAATGTCTCCTCTCTAATGTCTCCTCTCTAATGTCTCCTCTCTGTCTCCTCTCTGTCTCCTCTCTAATGTTTCCTCCCTAATGTCTCCTCTCTAATGTCTCCTCTCTAATGTCTCCTCTCTGTCTCCTCTCTAATGTCTCCTCTCTAATGTCTCCTCTCTAATGTCTCCTCTCTAAGTCTCTTCTCTGTCTCCTCTCTAATGTCTCCTCTCTAATGTCTCCTCTCTAATGTCTCCTCCCTAATGTCTCCTCTCTAATGTCTCCTCTCTAATGTCTCCTCTCTAAGTCTCTTCTCTGTCTCCTCTCTAATGTCTCCTCTCTAATGTCTCCTCTCTAAGTCTCTTCTCTGTCTCCTCTCTAATGTCTCCTCTCTAATGTCTCCTCTCTAATGTATCCTCTCTAATGTCTCATCTCTGACTCCTCTCTAATGTCTCCTCTCTAATGTCTCCTCCCTAATGTCTCCTCTCTAATGTCTCCTCTCTGTCTCCTCTCTAATGTCTCCTCTCTGTCTCCTCTCTGTCTCCTCTCTAATGTCTCCTCCCTAATGTCTCCTCTCTAATGTCTCCTCTCTAATGTCTCCTCTCTAATGTCTCCTCTCTAATGTCTCCTCTCTAATGTCTCCTCCCTAATGTCTCCTCTCTAATGTCTCGTCTAATGTCTCCTCTCTAATGCCTCCTCCCTAATGTCTCCTCTCTAATGTCTCCTCTAATGTCTCCTCTCTAATGTCTCCTCTCTAATGTCTCCTCTCTATGTCTCTTCTATGTCTCCTCTCTAATGTCTCCTCTCTAATGTCTCCTCTCTAAGTCTCTTCTCTGTCTCCTCTCTAATGTCTCCTCTCTAATGTCTCCTCTCTGACTCCTCTCTAATGTCTCCTCTCTAATGTCTCCTCTCTAATGTATCCTCTCTAATGTCTCATCTCTGACTCCTCTCTAATGTCTCCTCTCTAATGTCTCCTCCCTAATGTCTCCTCTCTAATGTCTCCTCTCTAATGTCTCCTCTCTAAGTCTCTTCTCTGTCTCCTCTCTAATGTCTCCTCTCTGACTCCTCTCTAATGTCTCCTCTCTGACTCCTCTCTAATGTCTCCTCTCTAAGTCTCCTCTCTAATGTCTCCTCTCTGTCTCCACTCTAATGTCTCCTCTCTAATGTCTCCTCTCTGACTCCCCTCTAATGTCTCCTCTCTAATGTCTCCTCTCTGTCTCCTCTCTAATGTCTCCTCTCTGACTCCTCTCTAATGTCTCCTCTCTAAGTCTCTTCTCCCTCTCCTCTCTAATGTCTCCTCTCTAATGCCTCCTCCCTAATGTCTCCTCTCTAATGTCTCCTCTCTAATGTCTCCTCTCTAATGTCTCCTCTCTGTCTCCTCTCTAATGTCTCCTCTCTAATGTCTCCTCTCTAATGTCTCCTCTCTAATGTTTCCTCTCTAATGTATCCTCTCTAATGTCTCCTCTCTAATGTCTCCTCTCTGTCTCCTCTCTGTCTCCTCTCTAATGTCTCCTCTCTAATGTCTCCTCCCTAATGTCTCCTCTAATGTCTCCTCTCTGTCTCCTCTCTAATGTCTCCTCTCTGTCTCCTCTCTATTGTCTCCTCTCTAATGTCTCCTCTCTAATGTTTCCTCTCTATTGTCTCCTCTCTAATGTCTCCTCTCTAATGTTTCCTCTCTAATGTCTCCTCTCTAATGTCTCCTCTCTAATGTCTCCTCTCTGTCTCCTCTCTAATGTCTCCTCTCTAATGTCTCCTCTCTGTCTCCTCTCTAATGTCTCCTCTCTAATGTCTCCTCTATAATGTCTCCTCTAATGTCTCCTCTCTAATGTCTCCTCTCTGTTTCCTCTCTAATGTCTCCTCTCTAATGTCTCCTCTCTAATGTCTCCTCTCTGTCTCCTCTCTGTCTCCTCTCTAATGTCTCCTCCCTAATGTCTCCTCCCTAATGTCTCCTCTCTAATGTCTCCTCTCTAATGTCTCCTCTCTAATGTCTCCTCCCTAATGTCTCCTCTCTAATGTCTCCTCTCTAATATCTCTTCTCTAATGTCTCCTCTCTAATGTCTCGTATAATGTCTCCTCTCTAATGTCTCCTCTCTAATGTCTCCTCTAATGTCTCCTCCCTAATGTCTCCTCTCTAATGTCTCCTCTCTAAGTCTCTTCTCTGTCTCCTCTCTAATGTCTCCTCTCTAATGTCTCCTCTCTAAGTCTCTTCTCTGTCTCCTCTCTAATGTCTCCTCTCTAATGTCTCATCTCTGACTCCTCTCTAATGTCTCCTCTCTAATGTCTCCTCCCTAATGTCTCCTCTCTAATGTCTCCTCTCTAATGTCTCCTCTCTAATGTCTCCTCTCTAATGTCTCCTCCCTAATGTCTCCTCTCTAATGTCTCCTCTCTAATGTCTCCTCTCTAATGTCTCGTCTAATGTCTCCTCTCTAATGCCTCCTCCCTAATGTCTCCTCTCTAATGTCTCCTCCCTAATGTCTCCTCTCTAATGTCTCGTCTAATGTCTCCTCTCTAATGCCTCCTCCCTAATGTCTCCTCTCTAATGTCTCCTCTCTAATGTCTCCTCTCTAATGTCTCCTCTCTAATGTCTCGTCTAATGTCTCCTCTCTAATGCCTCCTCCCTAATGTCTCCTCTCTAATGTCTCCTCTCTAATGTCTACTCTCTAATGTCTCCTCTCTAATGTCTCCTCTCTAATGTCTCGTCTAATGTCTCCTATCTAATTTCTCCTCTAATGTCTCCTCTCTAATGTCTCCTCTCTAATGTCTCCTCTCTAATGTCTCCTCCCTAATGTCTCCTCTCTAATTTCTCCTCTAATGTATCCTCTCTAATGTCTCCTCTCTAATGTCTCCTCTCTAGTCTCTCTCTGTCTCCTCTCTAATGTCTCCTCTCTAATGTCTCCTCTCTAAGTCTCTTCTCTGTCTCCTCTCTAATGTCTCCTCTCTAATGTCTCCTCTCTGTCTCCTCTCTAATGTCCTCCTCTCTAATGTCTCCTCTCTAATGTCTCCTCCCTAATGTCTCCTCTCTAATGTCTCCTCTCTAATGTCTCCTCTCTAAGTCTCTTCTCTGTCTCCTCTCTAATGTCTCCTCTCTAATGTCTCCTCTCTGACTCCTCTCTAATGTCTCCTCTCTAAGTCTCTTCTCTGTCTCCTCTCTAATGTCTCCTCTCTAATGTCTCCTCTCTGTCTCCTCTATAATGTCTCCTCTCTAATGTCTCCTCTCTGACTCCTCTCTAATGTCTCCTCTCTAATGTCTCCTCTCTAATGTCTCCTCTCTAATGTCTCCTCTCTAATGTCATCCTCTCTAATTCTCCTCTCTAATGTCTCCTCTCTAATTGTCTCCTCTCTGACTCCCTCTCTAATGTCTCCTCTCTAAGTCTCTTCTCTGTCTCCTCTCTAATGTCTCCTCTCTAATGTCTCCTCTCTAATGTCTCCTCTCTAATGTCTCCTCCCTAATGTCTCCTCTCTAATGTCTCCTCCCTAATGTCTCCTCTCTAATGTCTCCTCCCTAATGTCTCCTCTCTAATGTCTCCTCCCTAATGTCTCCTCTCTAATGTCTCCTCCCTAATGTCTCCTCTCTAATGTCTCCTCTCTAATGCTCCTCTCTAATGTCTCCTCCCTAATGTCTCCTCTCTAATGTCTCCTCTCTAATGTCTCCTCTCTATTGTCCCCTCCCTAATGTGTGTGTATTAGCAGTGTGTGTGTATGTATTAGCAGTGTGTGTGTGTGTGTGTGTGTTTGTGTGGGCAGAGGCAGGTCAGTCTCCTGTGCTGTGTTAATTACCAAACTATTGACCGGATGTGTGTTTTTCCACTGTGTCATGGAGCGCTGTAAGGGTGACTAGATACTCCCACTCCATTGGTCTATTTGTGGGGCAGTGTTTTGGACCAGGGGGACATTTTGTTTTGTAGCAGTTTAACTATGGAGTGTATTCCTCTCCACATCCATGTCTTTATCATAGAACCACGTCTTTATCATACAACCAAGAAAATAAGTGGCTTTTCCATGACTTTTCAATGACTTTTCTACCACTTTTCCATGAGTGCATCTCTATGGCTGATGTCTACGGTAGTTTGTATAAATGGGTCATTGCATTCCGTGTGAAAATGGGACAGAAATGTCTGTGGATGTTTTTTCCAGTTTGCAGAAAGAAATACACTTTGTATGGAGGATTTTTTCAAAACATACGTTGCCATGCAGATACATGTGATGGACATTTTGTATCTGAATGTGGCAGTAGTGTGATGATGTGTTACAGCAGTTCAGTGTTGATTTAGCCCTTCCTTCATGTGCCCTGTGTTAAGATGATGTTCATTAACTCATGTCATGTATCCTGTGTGTTAAAGTAGCGTTTACTAACCCTGTGTGTTAAAGTAGCGTTTACTAACCCTGTGTGTTAAAGTAGCGTTCACTAACCCTGTGTGTTAAAGTAGCGTTTACTAACCCTGTGTGTTAAAGTAGCGTTTACTAACCCTGTGTGTTAAAGTAGCGTTTACTAACCCTGTGTGTTAAAGTAGCGTTCACTAACCCTGTGTGTTAAAGTAGCGTTCACTAACCCTGTGTGTTAAAGTAGCGTTCACTAACCCTGTGTGTTAAAGTAGCGTTCACTAACCCTGTGTGTTAAAGTAGCGTTTACTAACCCTGTGTGTTAAAGTAGCGTTCACTAACCCAGTGTGTTAAAGTAGCGTTCACTAACCCTGTGTGTTAAAGTAGCGTTCACTAACCCTGTGTGTTAAAGTAGCGTTCACTAACCCTGTGTGTTCTCTGTTTCTGTCCACAGAGCTCAGGAATGGAGGAGACTGTTTGGGAGCAGTACACTGTGAACCTACAGAGGGTGAGTTGACCTTTGACCTTTACCCTTTATATGTATTTGCCCTGGAGTCTCTCCTATGGTCTCTTCCCAGTGAAGGGTCAGAGTGTGTGTGTAGTGGGTCCCTTGCCATCAGCCGGTGTGTGTTAGCTCTCACCAGATAAGGTGTATCCGTCCGTCCTTACGTGTGTTTGTCTGTGAACTCACTGAGCTACACAACAGTAGTTTACTGAAGCCCTGTGACCAAACCCAGTTTATCTCTCATGCCTCCAGACAGACAGACAGACAGGCAGACAGGCAGACAGGCAGACAGGCAGGCAGACAGACAGGCAGGCAGGCAGACAGACAGACAGACAGACAGACAGGCAGACAGACAGACAGGCAGACAGGCAGACAGACAGACAGACAGACAGACAGACAGACAGACAGACAGACAGACAGACAGACAGGCAGACAAATCAAATCAAATCAAATTTTATTGGCCACATGCGCCGAATACAACAGGTTCAGACATTACAGTGAAATTACAGCCCTTAACCAACAGTGCATTTATTTTTTAACAAAAAAGTACGGGTTGAGAAAAAAAGAGCAGAAGTAAAATAAAATAACAGTAGGGAGGGTATATATACAGGGGGGTACCGGTGCAGAGTCAATGTGCGGGGGCACCGGCTAGTTGAGGTAGTTGAAGTAATATGTACATGTGGGTAGAGTTAAAGTGACTATGCATAAATAATTAACAGAGTAGCAGCAGCGTAAAAGGATGGGGTGGGGGGGGCAGTGCAAATAGTCCGGGTAGCCATGATTAGCTCTTCAGGAGTCTTATGGCTTGGCGGTAGAAGCTGTTGAGAAGTCTTTTGGACCTAGACTTGGCACTCCGGTACCGCTTGCCGTGCGGTAGCAGAGAGAACAGTCTATGACTAGGGTGGCTGGAGTCTTTGACAATTTTGAGGGCCTTCCTCTGACACCGCCTGGTATAGAGGTCCTGGATGGCAGGAAGCTTGGCCCCAGTGATGTACTGGGCCGTACGCACTACCCTCTGTAGTGCCTTGCGGTCGGAGGCCAAGCAGTTGCCATACCAGGCGGTGATGCAACCAGTCAGGATGCTCTCGATGGTGCAGCTGTATAATTTTTTGAGGATCTGAGGACCCATGCCAAATCTTTTCAGTCTCCTGAGGGGGAATAGGCTTTGTCGTGCCCTCTTCACGACTGTCTTGGTGTGTTTGGACCATGATAGTTCGTTGGTGATGTGGACACCAAGGAACTTGAAGCTCTCAACCTGTTCCACTACAGCCCCGTCGATGAGAATGGGGGCGTGCTCAGTCCTCTTTTTTTTTCCTGTAGTCCACAATCATCTCCTTTGACTTGGTCACGTTGAGGGAGAGGTTGTTATCCTGGCACCACACGGCCAGGTCTCTGCCCTCCTCCCTATAGGCTGTCTCATCGTTGTCGGTGATCAGGCCTACCACTGTTGTGTCGTCGGCAAACTTAATGATGGTGTTGGAGTCGTGCCTGGCCATGCAGTCATGGGTGAACAGGGAGTACAGGAGGGGACTGAGCACGCACCCCTGAGGGGCCCCGTGTTGAGGATCATTGTGGCAGATGTGTTGTTACCTACCCTTACCACCTGGGGGCGGCCCGTCAGGAAGTCCAGGATCCAGTTGCAGAGGGAGGTGTTTAGTCCCAGGATCCTTAGCTTAGTGATGAGCTTTGAGGGCACTATGGTGTTGAATGCTGAGCTGTAGTCAATGAATAGCATTCTCGCGTAGGTGTTCCTCTTGTCCAGGTGGGAAAGGGCAGTGTGGAGTGCAATAGAGATTGCATCATCTGTGGATCTCGTCAGAGCCAGTGTAGTACGATTCAATCTTAGTCCTGTATTGACTCTTTGCCTGTTTGATGGTTCGTCGGAGGGCATAGCGGGATTTCTTATAAGCGTCCGGGTTAGAGTGCCGCTCCTTGAAAGCGGCAGCTCTACTCTTTAGCTCAGTGCGGATGTTTCCTGTAATCCATCGCTTCTGGTTGGGGTATGTACGTACGGTCACTGTGGGGACGACATCATCGATGCACTTATTGATGAAGCCAGTGACTGATATGGTGTACTCCTCAATGCTATCTGAAGAATCCCAGAACATGTTCCAGTCTGTGCTAGCAAAACAGTCCTGTAGCTTAGCATCTGCGTCATCTGACCACTTTTTTATTAACCGAGTCACTGGTGCTTCCTGCTTTAGTTTTTGCTTATAAGCAGGAATCAGGAGGATAGAGATATGGTCAGATTTGCCAAATGGAGGGCGAGGGAGAGCTTTGTATGCGTCTCTGTGTGTGGAGTAAAGGTGGTCTAGAGTTTTTTTTCCTCTGGTTGCACATTTAACATGCTGGTAGAAATTAGGTAGAACGGATTTAAGTTTCCCTGCATTAAAGTCCCCGGCCACTAGGAGCGCTGCATCTGGATGAGCGTTTTCCTGTTGACTTATGGCCTTATACAGCTCATTCAGTGCAATCTTAATGCCAGCATTGGTTTGTGATGGTAAATAGACAGCTATGAAAAATATAGGCAGACAGGCATGGGGTAGAGGATGTCTCTGTGGTCACTGACAGTATCAGATAGCATGAACGTTATATCAACCTTATAAGGTCAGCTATAAACACAGGCTGCAGCCCAAATGACTCCCTATTTCCTACAGTATATACTGGTAATAGGGAGCCATACAGTGCATTCAGAAAGTATTCAGACCCCTTGACTTTTTCCACATTTTGTTACATTACAGCCTTATTCTAAAATTGATTAAATCGTTTTTTCCCCTCATCAATCTCACACAATACCCCATAGTGACAAAGCAAAAACAGGTTTTTAGAAATGTTTGCTAATGTGTTACAAATAAAAAACGGAAATATCACATTTACATAAGTATTCAGACCCTTTACTCAGTACTTTGTTGAAGCACCTTTGGCAGCAATTACAGCCTCAAGTCTTCTTGGGTATGACGCTACAAGCTTGGCACACCTGTATTTGGGGAGTTTCTCCCATTCTTCTCTGCAGATCCTCTCAAGCTCTGTCAGGTTGGATGGGGAGGGTCGATGCACAGCTATTTTCAGGTCTCTCCAGAGATGTTCGATCGGGTTCAAGTCCGGGCTCTGGCTGGGCCACTCAAGGACATTCAGAGACTTGTCCCAAAGCCACTCCTGCGTTGTTTTGGCTTTGTTCTTAGGGTCATTGTCCTGTTGGAAGGTGAACATTCACCCCAGTCTGAGGTCCTGAGCACTCTGGAGCAGGTTTTCTACCACCACCATGCTTCACCGTAGGGATGGTGCCAGGTTTTCTCCAGACGTGACACTTGGCATTCAGGCAAAAGAGTTCAATCTTGGTTTCATCAGACCAAAGAATCTTGTTTCTCATGGTCTGAGAGTCCTTTTGGTGCCTTTTGGCAAACACCAAGTGGGCTGTCATGTGCCTTTTTAGTTAGGAGTGGCCACTACCATAAAGGCCTGATTGGTGGAGTGCTGCAGAGATGGTTGTCGTTCTGGAAGGTTCTCCCATCTCCACAGAGGACCTCTGGAGCTCTTTCAGAGTGACCATCGGGTTCTTGGTCACCTCCCTGACCAAGGCCCTTGTCCCCGATTGCTCAGTTTGGCCAGGCAGCCAACTCTAGGAAGGGTCGTGGTGGTTACAAACTTCTTCCATTTAAGAATGATGGAGGCCACTGTGTTCTTGGGGACCTTCCATGCTCAGACATTTTTTGGTACCCTTCCCCAGATCTGTGCCTTGACATAATCCTGTCTCGGAGCTCTACGGACAATTCCTTCGACCTCATGGCTTGGTTTTTGCTCTGACATGCACTGTCAACTGTGGGACCTTATATAGAGAGGTGTGTGCCTTTCCAAATCATGTCCAATCAATTTAATTTTCCGCAGGTGGACTCCAATCAAGTTGTAGAAACATCTCAAGGATGAAACAATTTCGAGTCTCATAGCAAAGGGTCTGAATACTTATGTAAATGTGAAATTTCCGTTTTTTATTTTTAATACATTTGCAAACATTTCTAAAAACCTGTTTTTGCTTTGTCATTATGGGGTATTGTGTGTAGATTGATGATTTAATCAATTTTAGAATAAGGCTCTAACGAAACAAAATGTGGAAAAAGTCAAGGGGTCTGAATACTTTCTGAATGCACTGTATGCAGGTAATGGGGTGCCATTTGGGATTCAAAAATCTATGTCATCAGATCAACTATAAACACAGTGATGGGAGGTTGTGATGTCACACAGAGCTGTGAAACAGGGCTAACAACAGGAAGAGGTTAGGACTGAGAGAGGTGCTGTTAGTGATTTTTGACTCTGTTACCTGCTTATCACACTGATGCATCACTATTCACTAAGCTAGCCCTGGCTCTCAGTATTCACACCGGGAGGAGAGGAGGAACTCACACACATACACACATGCATGTACACACATACACACAAACACACATGAACATGCACACACACACACACACACACACACACACGAACATGCACACACACACACACACACACACACACACACACATGAACATGCACACACACACACACACACACACACACGAACATGCAAGAGACAAAGTGCAAGAGGGATAGAAAGAAACACACAGAGACAATTGAATTATTAGTCTCTCTCTCCCAGACATGCATCCATCAGTCTGTTTCAAACAGGAGGTAAGTGGTGTTAAGTTGTGTGTTATTCCTCCTACTATGAATCTTCATTCAGATAGACAGGAGATGTCTTGTTTCCCTTTGGATAGCCAGGAGCTCCAAGGTTGACCTGCTCTCTTTTATCTTTCATCGCTTTCTCTTTCTCTCTCTATCTTTCTTTCTCACTCTTTTTCTGTCCCTCTCTCTCTCTCTTTCTCTGTCCCTCTCTCTCTCTCTGTCTCTGTCTCTGTGTCTGTCTCTCTATCCCTCTCAGTCTTCTGGGCGATTTGTCATGTCAACTACTTGGACGTGACTGTAATCTGGCAAGAGTGTAAGTGGGACAGAGCGAGAGAGAGAGTGAGAGGGAGAGAGTGTTTGTGATGGATTTTTACCCCTCTTGCACAGCTCTCCCTGCCTCTCTCTACCTCCTCACTCCCCCTCTTTCCCTCCTCTCTTCTCCTATATGTGTGAGTTGGGAGAGAGTATTAGAGGCACATTGGAAACTCAAGCCATCTGCTCCCCCCTCCCACCAATCATTCTCATCCCATCTATGTGGTTGTAGCCAACCCATGAACCCATCCAGTGCTACCTCTCTCTACCTGGCTACCTGTCTGTCTATCTGTTTCAACCTATTTTAGTCTATTTTTATTTGTCTGACCTTCCAATCCCATACACCCCTACCCCATTTCAATGCTTTATCTTTTTACTTGCCCAACCCCCAACTAAACTCTCTCTCTCTCTCTCTCTCTCTCCTCTCTCTCCTCTCTCTCTCCTCTCTCTCTCTCTCTCTCTCCCTCTCTCTCCTCTCTCTCTCTCTCTCTCTCTCTCTCTCTATTTATTGGCATGGGAAACGTATGTTAACATTGCCAAAGCAAGTGAAGTAGATAGTAAACAAAAGTGAAATAAACAATAAATATTAACAGTAAACATTACACTCAGAAGTTACAAAAGAATAATATATTATGTATATATACAGTGTTGTAACAATGTGCAAATAGTTAAAGTACAAATGGGAAAATAAATAAACATAAATATGGGTTGTATTTACAATGGTGTTTGTTCTTCACTGGTTCTCTCTCTCTCTCTCTCTCTCTCTCTGTCTCCATCTCTCTCTCTGTCTCCATCTCTCTCTCTCTGTCTCTCTCTCTCTCTCTGTCTCCATCTCTCTCCTCCCTCCCTCCATCTCTCTCCTCCCTCCCTCCTGTAGGACTCCAAGATGGGGTTTGGTATTGCCGTGTCGGGGGGTCGGGACAACCCCAACGTGGAGAACGGAGAGATGTCAATCATCGTGTCAGACGTCCTACAGGGAGGACCAGCTGACGGACTCCTGTTGTACGCTAAACCACTTCCTCTTACGTCATCAACTAACCAGACCTCACTGAGTTTTTGAAAACTTGAATGCTGTTGTTAATTAATGGGTTTTTTGCCCAATATGTCAGGAAGTCAGTTAAGGGGATACCGTCATGGTGGTTGCCGGTACCGGAAGCCATCGGATCGCATCTCAGTAGTCTGAAGTTGCATGCTGGTCTCTTGTCTTTCACCTGTACTGATAAAATAAAAATACACAGGCTAGGTGAAAACAAAGCAATATGTTTGACATCGTCTGGGAAAGGGCTTTCATCTACGAATGAAAAGAGAGGAGAGGAAGCTACTTTTGCTTATAGAAATGCAGCCAGGGTTGATCATGTTCTAATGTACTCTTTCATGTGTGTCTTGTTGTTCTACGTTAACGGTATGTTGTGTTCTCCTCCAGTGAGAAAGATCGTGTGATCCAGGTCAACTCCATCCTCATGGACAACGTGCCTCATTCCTTCGCTGTGCAGCAGCTACGCAAATGTGGGAAGACCGCCAAGGTGGTGAGTATCACTGTGCATAGCGTTGCTGTAGTTAGTAGCTAGTTGAAATGTAGGAAGGTAGCCAAGGTGGTGAGTACAATATATGATAGAATATGTTAGGCCATAAGGACATTGACAGTATATTCAAAATATGAACACAGGGATGACATAGCCTTGACATTCATCCTGGTGTAGCTGCTAGCTTAGCCACTGACAGACTGACAGACAGGGGACATTGTAACATTGTGACAGTGAATCACTTGCAGCCACTGTACTGCCTTCTGAGCTGTTTCACAGTGTCGGTCCACTGAGCTGTTTCACAGTGTCGGTCCGCTGAGCTGTTTCACAGTGTCAGTCCGCTGAGCTGTTTCACACTGTCAGTCCACTGAGCTGTTTCACAGTGTCAGTCCGCTGAGCTGTTTCACACTGTCAGTCCACTGAGCTGTTTCACAGTGTCAGTCCACTGAGCTGTTTCACAGTGTCAGTCCGCTGAGCTGTTTCACACTGTCAGTCCGCTGAGCTGTTTCACACTGTCAGTCCACTGAGCTGTTTCACACTGTCAGTCCGCTGAGCTGTTTCACAGTGTCAGTCCGCTGAGCTGTTTCACACTGTCAGTCCACTGAGCTGTTTCACAGTGTCAGTCCACTGAGCTGTTTCACAGTGTCAGTCCACTGAGCTGTTTCACACTGTCCCACCTTTAATACTGCACAGCCAAAAATAACCCTACTGCTCCACTCTTGCTCCCGGCTCTGTGTGTGTGTGTGTGTGTGTGTGGTCTCTTGGGTGTTTTGTTGCACGTGTTATCTAATGCGATCCTTTCCATCAAAATGCTGCAGTGTGGCCTCCCGAGTGGCACAGCGGTCTAAGGCACTGCACTGCTTGAGGCGTCACTACAGATCCAGGTTCGATCCCGGGCTGTGACCGGGAGACCCATGAGGTGGCACACAGTTGGCCCAGCGTCGTCCGGGTTAGGGGAGGGTTTGGCCGGCCGGGATGTCCTTGTCCCATCGCGCTCTAGCAACTCCTTGTGGTGGGCCAGGCGCATGCAGGCTGACACATTGGTGCGGCTGGCTTCCGGGTTAAGCGAGCAGTGTGTCAAGGAGCAGTGCGGCTTTGCAGGGTTGTGTTTCGGAGGACGCATGGCTCTCGACCTTCGACTCTCTCGAGTCCGTACGGGCGTTGCAGCGATGGGACAAGACTGTAAATACTAATTGGATATCATGAAATTGGGGAGAAAAAGGGGTAAAACAAAAATATATAAAAAAATATATATAAAGCTGCAGTGTAGGTTTTAGGCCTGAGCTCTCTGCATAGCAATACAGTGTGTAATGGTTGACCCTGTATGTCTCTCTGTGTGTGTTTCCCCTCAGACGGTGAAGAGACCTCGGAAGGTGGCTCTCCACTCCCTGAAGCACCCCCCCTCCCCCGGCGGTGAGAGTCGAGACTTCGGCACCACCCGTTACTACGACGCCGATGACAACCAGAGCGACGGGGGCTGGCAGCGCGGCAACGGTGGGCCCGGTTACACCCACGAGCCTCGTGACCTCACCCCCGACAACAAGAACTACCTGGACCCCGACTACGGTGGCCGTGGTAATCGGGGGAGGAGCCGGGGGAGGAGCCAGGAGAGGACATCGCCGAGCCCTGAGCATCGCCGCGACAACAGCAAGGGGCGGGCCTTGGACCGGGAGCCGCCCAGTCCCGAGACGCTGCGGATTCCACAGGAAGGCAGCCGGGGGAGGAGCACGGACCGGGAGAGAGGAGGAGGGGGAGGAGGGAGTCCAGGTGGGAGGAGCTACGGCCGAGGTGACAGCTACGAGCGGGGAGGGGGGAGGTACGGGGATGTAGGAGGTACCGGAGGGAGGATGGTGAAGAGTACGAGTAGAGACCAACTCCAGGAGCCGCCCTCCTCGACCTCCCCGGACCTCCCACGAGGAGGAGGAGGAGGAGGAGGAGGAGGAGGAGGAGGGGGACTAAGAGACCTGGAGCCCCTGGAGAAACCTGTTAATGTCCTGCTGGTCAAGAACAGACCCAACGAAGGTACCAGACATAGTCTACTACAGTAACTAACCCTAATAAGGTCAGTTCCTTTACGATAATTGTTCGCCCTTAAGAAGGGATGATGTATAAAGGAAGGGGGAGCACGTTTACTGCTTACATTTTGTAAGGGTCATTTTGTAAAGGTCAGAGGTTAAGGTGGTTTTAAGGTCAGGATAGTTCTCTGGTTGCTGCAGCTAGTCACTAACTGTGTGCGTGTGCCGTGTGCGTGTGTGTGTGTAGAGTACGGTCTGCGTCTGGGCAGTCAGATCTTCATCAAGGAGATGACCAGTACAGGACTGGCTACCAAGGACGGAAACTTACAGGAGGGAGACATCATTCTAAAGGTTTACAGACACACACACACACAATGAATCTCTTTCTCACACTCACATATCTTGTCACACATCACACAAACACACACACACACACACACACTGTCACTCTCAATTTCAATGTAATTGGTCATCATAGGCATGACTGTATAGAACGCTGCCAAATAGGAACATGTTAATGGCTTTCCTCATTTCTCTCTCCATCTCACACCCAAACTGTCAAGTCACTACTACACTAATTTACACTGTACTTTCTCTCTCTCTCTGTTTCTCGCCTCTCCTTCTCCCTCTCTCCTCTCCTACTCGCTCGCTCTCTCCTTTCTCTTCTCCTCCTCTCTCTCTCCTCCTCTCTCGTCTCTCCTCTCTCTCACGCTCCTCCTCTCCTCTTCTCTCCTCTCTCCTCACTCTCCTCTCTCTTCTCTCTCTCTCTCTCTCTCTCTCTCTCTCTCTCTCCTCCTCTCTCACTCTCTCCTCTCCTCCTCTACTCCTCATCTTCTCTGCGAGTTCTCCCTATCCGTCTCCACAAAGAGACTCCTCCTCTCCCTAGACGGGCCCCGTCACTCTCTCATCTCCTCCTCCTCTCCTCACCTAATCCTTCTCCCTCTCATCTCCTACCCCCAAACCCATTCAGCACCCTCCTCCAATTCTGCGTCTCCTCAAATCACATTCTCTCGCTCTCTCGCTCTTCCTCCTCCTCTCGGAAAGTAAGACAACAAGTCTAGAGGGAAGGGCGGACACCTCACGACAGAAGCAGCAAGATCGCCGCCCCGACGCGAACTTCCTCTCAATCATGCCGACTTCGTCTCTAACCCCCCTCCCGCCTGGGGATCGGGGATCGCGCCGCCCGTCCTCAGTCAATCGCGCGAACGACGGCCCCACGCGAACGCCGCCGAGGGAACAAGATAACTATCCAGCGAGAAAGCCGTCAAAGGAAATAAATCTCCGATAGGGGACGGGAAGGTCCAGTCCTAAAGCCAGGGTCCAACCGCTCCGAGGGAGAAGGAAGAAAGAGGGATGCGAAGACTCGGCCGGAATGGAATCAAAGAGACAAGCCCCCGACCCGGGGACCCACCCAACAAAGCATCGGAAAATCTGCGCCCCGTGATTTCGGCTGAGATTTTCCCTTCTACTCGCAAAACCCAAAAGATGGGCCCCCTCCCCGACAATCCTCGTCCGCTAGGGCCTCCTGCGCCCCTCCTCAAGGCCCACGTCATCCTCTCCCCCGAAATCGCCTCTCCTTCCTATCTCGTAATATACTCACTCCTTCCGCTACGCTCCTCTCCTTACTCTTCTCTCCCTTTTCCCTTATCTTCTCTCTTTCTCTCTCCCCTATCCTCTTCTCTTCTCTCTCTCTCCTCTCCTCACTCTTCTCTCTCCTCTGCTCCCGATCTCCTCCCTCTCTTCAGATCAACGGGACAGTAACAGAGAACATGTCTCTGAACGATGCAGGGAAGCTCATTGAGAAGTCTAGAGGGAAACTCCAGCTGGTCGTCCAGAGAGACCGCAGACAGATCCTCATCCGTATCCCGCCCCTCGTCGACTCTGACTCCGAACCTGACGGTGAGAGGCTGACTGGGGAGTGATAGGGATGACAGACACCTGTTCTGACCAATAGCAGAGCAGTATTCAGAGTGTAGAGGATGACGGACACCTGTCCTGACCAATGGCAGAGCAGTATAGTGGTTTGTGTGGGTCAAATTCCCTGTAGAAAGTCCCAGAGGGTGAGAGTGTGGGGTGAGAGTGTGTTGGTTTTCTCTGCACCACTGACAGATCATTGATCACTGTACTAGTGTTGCACGGTATACCGAAACTTCGGTACTTTTTGCATACTAAAACATGAAAAACGGTTCAGTACTACAGTGAGGGAAAAAAGTATTTGATCCCCTGCTGATTTTGTACGTTTGCCCACTGACAAAGTAATGATCAGTCTATAATTTTAATGGTAGGTATATTTGAACAGTGAGAGACAGAATAACAACAAAAAAATCCAGAAAAACGCATGTCAAAAATGTTATCAATTGATTTGCATTTTAATGAGGGAAATAAGTATTTGACCCCCTGTCAATCAGAAAGATTTCTGGCTCCCAGGTGTCTTTTATACAGGTTACGAGCTGAGATTAGGAGCACACTCTTAAAGGGAGTGCTCCTAATCTCAGTTTGTTACCTGTATAAAAGACACCTGTCCACAGAAGCAATCAATCAATCAGATTACAAACTCTCCACCATGGCCAAGACCAAAGAGCTCTCCAAGGATGTCAGGGACAAGATTGTAGACCTACACAAGGCTGGAATGGGCTACAAGACCATCGCCAAGCAGCTTGGTGAGAAGGTGACAACAGTTGGTACGATTATTCGCAAATGGAAGAAACACAAAATAACAGTCAATCTCCCTCGGCCTGGGGCTCCATGCAAGATCTCACCTCGTGGAGTTGCAATGATCATGAGAACGGTGAGGAATCAGCCCAGAACTACACGGGAGGAGCTTGTCAATGATCTCAAGGCAGCTGGGACCATAGTCACCAAGAAAACAATTGGTAACACACTACGCCGTGAAGGACTGAAATCCTGCAGCGCCCGCAAGGTCCCCCTGCTCAAGAAAGCACATATACAGGCCCGTCTGAAGTTTGCCAATGAACATCTGAATGATTCAGAGGAGAACTGGGTGAAAGTGTTGTGGTCAGATGAGACCAAAATCAAGGTCTTTGGCATCAACTCAACTCGCCGTGTTTGGAGGAGGAGGAATGCTGCCTATGACCCCAAGAACACCATCCCCACCGTCAAACATGGAGGTGGAAACATTATGCTTTGGGGGTGTTTTTCTGCTAAGGGGACAGGACAACTTCACCGCATCAAAGGGACGATGGACGGGGCCATGTACCGTCAAATCTTGGGTGAGAACCTCCTTCCCTCAGCCAGGGCATTGAAAATGGGTTGTGGATGGGTATTCCAGCATGACAATGACCCAAAACACACGGCCAAGGCAACAAAGGAGTGGCTCAAGAAGAAGCACATTAAGGTCCTGGAGTGGCCTAGCCAGTCTCCTGACCTTAATCCCATAGAAAATCTGTGGAGGGAGCTGAAGGTTCGAGTTGCCAAACGTTAGCCTCGAAACCTTAATGACTTGGAGAAGATCTGCAAAGAGGAGTGGGACAAAATCCCTCCTGAGATGTGTGCAAACCTGGTGTCCAACTACAAGAAACGTCTGACCTCTGTGATTGCCAACAAGGGTTTTGCCACCAAGTACTATGTCATGTTTTGCAGAGGGGTCAAATACTTATTTCCCTCATTAAAATGCAAATCAATTTATAACATTTTCGACATGCGTTTTTCTGGATTTTTTTGTTGTTATTCTGTCTCTCACTGTTCAAATAAACCTACCATTAAAATTATAGACTGATAATTTCTTTGTCAGTGGGCAAACGTACAAAATCAGCAGGGGATGAAATACTTTTTTCCCCTCACTGTATAATTTTTTTTAAACTCTCGGTACTTCTGTCAAATGTGTCTCATGTCGTATACAGATCGAGAGGATGGAGTCTGTCTAGTAATTTGGCTGAATGTTCTCAAGGGGGCAGTAGTAAGCTAGACAGGCTACTTACGCTGCGCCAGCCACTTTTGAGAAGCAACCGAGAGACGGAGAGAACATGCGAGAGCATAGGTTCTTCTCATGAAAACATCATACCTCCACGCTCGCAGCTTGTTGACAAAACTGTCTCCAAAAGCTATGGGAATACTTTGCTTACAGAGCAGATGAGGGCCAGCCCACCAAAACAACTAAGCAAAAAGTGTTACAAAACGACATAAACTATTTTACACATGACATTATTTTTGAGTGACAATGACATGAACGTAATATATTCAGCATGACGTTCATGTGAGCATTATATTATGATTACAACCCAAAAGTAATGTGAAATGCCGTCATAACAGCAATATATTTAGCTAGATTACTCTGCTTTTGTCTGGGCTTGCTATCAGTTAGTAACTAGCAAGTTCACAAACAATTCATTCATTAGTCGGCTAATGGGGATCCTAATCAAATCAAATCTGCTCAATAAACTCGAACTAGAGAACGAATCGTTTGGGGGTCTGCGGTTCACAAACGACATTGTGCTTATCCCCCTCACGACAGTCAAGAAATGCATTCCGCCAAGAGTCACAATCAAGAGTCGTTCACAATCTAGTCCGGTTGCGGCCACAACTAGACCTCCTTTCAAATGTACCAAGAAATAATCTTATTTGTAATCAACAACTGTACAATCAACAAATGTACATTGTTTAATGCACACGTTTACAACTCTGTCACAAATGACAGCTCCAATAAGCCCCTTATGGTGAATGACGTGAACGAGAGGCTTGTAGAATCATGACTCGTTTGAGTTTTCAGTTCATCGTTCGCCAGTAGCGGGTCCTGTGGGCATTACTGAATCAAATGAACGAAATGAGTCAAAAGATTCGTTCTTTTGACTGAACGATTCGAAATTATCCAAGTAAGTTAAAAGAGCCGAACTTTCCATCACTACTAGCAGTAGCCAGCCATCAGCCCTGGGTGGAGCATTGCACCCTGGGAGATTAAATGCACTATGGGAATCGTAGTATGCTGTGTAAAATCCATTGTATAGCTATGGTATGTAGACTATTGCAATATAGTCTACATATTGCTTCAGAAATGAGCTTCAAAGTGTTTTATGTCGTTTTGGAACTAAATAATTTAATACATACAATTATTTAGCTGTAATGAATAATGAATCATATAGGTCTAATGAATGTGGCCATAGATGAGAAAATGAACCCTGATATGTGTCAAATTACATTTTAAAACAGTTTAGATGTAATTGTAAAATTATTTTGTATGCTCTGAGTCTCAGAAATGGTTTTGCATAAGGAACATTGAAGGTATTCTTCTGTTATTTAATATGGTGTTTTATTTTTTGAAAGAAATAGAATATATAATAGAATATATTTGATTTCTTATTTGAGTTGTTCTGCTACTTATCAAAAAAATAAAAAATAAAGCCCAGTGGTTATTCTCTGATTTTAGCTAATATGCATTCTTTTTTTTGCCGTTGGATCGTTTCGGTATCGAGTATCATTTCGGTCTCGTTGGGTTGCTAAGTCTCGTTGGGTTGCCAAGTCTCGTTGGGTTGCCAAGTCTCGTTGGGTTGCCAAGTCTCGTTGGGTTGCCAAGTCTCGTTGGGTTGCCAAGTCTCGTTGGGTTGCCAAGTCTCGTTGGGTTGCCAAGTCTCATTGGGTTGCCAAGTCTCATTGGCAACACTATACAGTGATCATGAGCATGAAAACCAACACCATTCTTTGACTCAACACTGGGTGTTTCATAAGCATGAATAGGGTCTAATCACTTCAATTGATAATGTAGTGTACTTTACATTTGCAGTTTAAAGGGGTCAAATAGGAAACATATTACAGCTGATACAGATCAGTTTAGGAGTGTGAAGATATTCTATATTAGTCAGGTTTGTCATCAGTAGAAAACGATATTAAAAAGTATCCAATGGCATTATTTAAACATTCCTCAAGAGTAGACAGCCACCAATCAGGCCACGGCCCTGTTGAGGTAAAAATATCTGTCTTTCAACGGGTTAAAAATAAAAAGGGACACGAAATTGGGTATTCTCACGTTACTGCTTGCAGCTGCCATATCGCATACACACAGAGGTCACCCAGTCTATTCTTAGTCTACTTAATGTACATTTAGGACAGACAGAGTCACCTAAAGTGGTTCGTTATTATCCTAAGTACACTATTTAAGGGTAAACATGTTGGATGTTTACTCTCATACTAGGAAGTTAAACAGAATATACAGTATTGACAACAAAAAGAGATTTCCTCAATCGTAGCCTACAAAAGAGAAATCCTTTTTGTCTTCTTTCTTCCAGATAAAATTTCATACTTTTAGACGAAGGCCCACCCAAGACAGACTCACACTACAGTAACGTTTGGTTGCCTTTAAGCTGTATCAATGAACCACTACACTGCTACAAGTTGTCAAGCATTTACCTCTTTGCACTTCCTTTTTTGCTATTATACTTTTTTTTTTTTTATACTTTCCTAAAACCAATAAAGTATTTTAATCACTATCTATTTTGTACTGTGTGATTTATTAAGTACAGTAGGTTGAATAATGCCAATGGAACAAATATGTTATTTTTACTGTACATTTAGTACAAATATTGTGCTGTACATTTAATTGTAATTAAAAGTACATGCAGTACAAATACATCTTAGCTTTGTACCAAGTGAATTGTTATTCTTCCTATAGCTTTAGTACTGAGTTCACCATATTCTGTCATTAGTAAAAACATGCAACAACTTAAAGAAAGGGTTATCACTTGGCTACCTTTCAATTCCAAATACAGAAAGTTGCATGAAAAACCAAGGCTTGTCCAGTATACGTGGGTAAGATTACTGCATCATTATAACCATAGCAACAACATATTAATATTCATCCTTCAGTGTTTAACAGGAGTTGAATACTACCGGATTTGAGTGAATTAGTGTCAGTATTTTTGTCTCAACCTATATAGTTTGTTCAACG